TCTTTCCTTTATGCATCACCTTCTTCCTTTGCTAACTATCAGATGGAACTATCATTTGGGGGAAGTTTTGCCCAAACGGTGGGCTCCAACTAGAATTTTTATTTTAAGGTAGAATAAGGATGGTAGGATTTTAGATTGAAGGCCTTGAGAATGAGAGAGAGAGAGAGGTTTAAGGGACTGTGTATAGAAACTTCAAATAGGCTTTAACTGTGCTTTGTATTGTGTGGTGTCATGTGGGTTGTGGGCACACGCTTATTCGCTGTATTATTCTCTACACTTTTTATATGCCAGAATTGTTTCATAATAACAAAAAACAAATGGCAAAATGGGAAATAAATATCAAACACATTCTAATAAGAATAAGCTATGAAAGAGGGATGAGGCATCTGGGAAAGAATTTTATGTGTGACATATAAAGTTGGAAACTTAAGACTCAGACTCCAGTTGCTTTGTGTGGCCAAAAAATTATTTCTCAGCTATTTTCCCCATGTTCATTCTCATCCTCCCCCAAGACTTATCATAATACTAGATACTATTTATTGAGTACATATTATGTCCTACACTCCGTGTAACTGGTGTTACCTGCATTAGTTACTTCCCCCTCACAATAACCTTCAAGGCAAGATGCTGCTACTATCACCTCTCTATAGATAAGGAAAATAGGGTTCGGAAGGTTAGGTAAACTGCACCAAGTTGCAAACCCGATAAGGGACAGACAGAGCCAGGAATCAAATCAAATCTATTTTCTTAGCCTCCAAAGTCTACTGCCTCACAGAAGACAATGATAAAAGAAGTGATATAATGCTGACTTAATCCGTGCTTGGCAGAGATCACCTGTTCAGAATGAGTACACCATCAGAACGTATCACTTAATCACTAAGGAACAGGACAGAGATGGCTATGTTTATAGCTACCTGAGACCTGATGAGGGATTTCTCTGATTGTTTAAAAAAATGCATGTGATGCTTTGAAAAAAATGCATGTAAATGCTAGCTTTATTCATTTTCTCCATCTGCCTAAATACCACAAACATAGAAGCTAAATACAGTACCCATAATACTAGAGATGGCTATGTTTATAGCTACCTGAGACTTGATGAGGGATTTCTCTGATTTTATGACTCATTAAGCTTATACTATTGTATCCACTTCCAACGGTAGGTAGATAGATAGATAGCCCTAGCTTAAGATCCTTAAAAGAGGAAATTTGACTGACAGTCAACCACCATTATCTCTGCATGGTGGCAGACTGGCCTTTGAGCCCAGCTAGTTTGGGATCTGTAGCCATGGCGGGAGCACACGAGAAGGATGCACTGATAGCCATCAAAGGAACTACCTAGGTCTGCTGTTTTATCTGTGTGAGTGGCAGGTATCATGATGGGACTGTCCAGGCCATTACCTCATTATATTTGTCACTATTAAATCTTATTTTAGTCATCTCCTATATTTGCTGCCTAGCCTATGTCATAAGCACATTTAGGTTAAAGGTGGTTCCATCTTCCCTTCACTATGAGTCTGCCATCTTCACCTCTTCCTATCCACATCTCAGGACTAAAAGTACAATGTGGAAGCCTTGCTAACATCTAATAAGCATGAATTAATAAAAAAAAAATCCACAGCCACCTGGGTCTTAAGGGAAAATATACGGCTTGAGTTGAATATGTGATCATTCTTTTTCCTATTAATTTCCCAAGTTCCTTCATGTGTTCCGTTCTCTGTTCCGCTGGGGTGATAGAAACATGACAGATGGCATTCTCATGCAACACAGCAAAGGGCTATATTTTTTGCTATAAAACTCTTACAAATCATTCTTATGCATTTGGGACAGAAATATGGTGACATAAGAGAGAAAAATACTATTACATACATGTGAACAGCAGACATTTGTGGACAGTAAGTGTATAGATTCAAATATATCAATGAATCATAAATGCATATTTCATTTGGAGGTTTTGATATAAGTATACAGCATTAATAAACAGAATATCTGGCTTTCTTTAAAATAAATACAGAAAAATATATATTAGATTGAAGAATTTTAAGTTATCATGTATCAAAATCACTTAAGGAGTTTTAAGTTTAACCTGCTATGATACTCTAAGGAAAATGATTATAGCTATAAAAGAGATTAAACAAACATTTACGGATTTATCAATAAATTGAGAAGGTAAAAGAAAGCTATTAAGATGAATGTAGAGATAACAAAGAGAAAAATATCAGTGTTAGAATGGCATCCAACCTAAGGTGGAAAAGGAATAAAAAGCAAGATAGAAAAGATCAAGAATGTGAGGCTTGTGGGAGGGTATAGCACAGTGGTAGAGTGCTTGCCTAGCATACACAAGGTCCTAGGTTCAAACCCCAGCACCTCTATTAAAAATAAATTAGTATTTTTTAAAAAGTAGCTTCCCCTCCAAAAAAAAAAAAAAAAGAATGTGAGGCTTATAGCACCAGAAGTGGAATCAGTCTTCAGTATACTAGTTATGTACGAACCTTGTATCTATGAATAATAGAGGAAAAATTGTAACTTCTTTTACTTTTCTTCTATATTATTTTGAAGCTTTTTCTTATTACAAATATACATATTCATCAGAGAACTTATTGAGATATGTGAAAAAGATCATATATTATCACCTTTAGTCCAGAAATATATTTAGAGCTAATCATAATCTTTTAAAAAACTTAATAATGTTTCATGAAGCTCATTCAATGAAATAATAAATAAAACCTGGATCATCTAGTCTGACCTTTTTAATAATGCTTTCATAATCTCTTTAGATGATTGTGAGCCCTTTTCCTGACCACTTCAATGACTTGGAAATTATCAATTTGCCAGGAAATCTTTGAATGCTTGAAATTGCTTGAATGCTCTAATGATGAGAAGTCCTTCTCTATCCTGAATTTTGTCCCCCTCCTTTAATTTCTCTCCAGAAGAGCACTGGACTTGGAATTCATTTCAGAATTGTCCCATCCTTTAGTGCCAATAACCATAACTAAATTATGTTACTTTACTATACAAACTCTATCTAAAAAATTAGGCTAACAACACTTACCCTATATCCCTTATAAAGTTGTTCAAAGATTCAAGTAAGAAAATATGCAGAATCATGCCTTATCAACTCCTCTGAATATACACCAATTTGTGACTGTCTTCTGTAAAAAGTGCCACACTGAACTAAAAGGATAATCCTGATGTGACTGAATGCGTGGAGAATAAAATGGGATTTTTCTGCAGAGCAGGCCACTATTATCCATGCTGAGATGCAGTTTTTCTTATTACCACAGTCTAGCCATTTATAAAGGGCTAACTGAACTGCAGCATTTGAGGAATGTCTTCAAAAAAATCTTTTTAATGTAGCAAAATGATAAAAAGAATGAATGTAGGATAAGTAAATATGAATGATCTGTTTTCTCCTAATTATACAACTGATTGGGTGCATGAGGTGTCTCCTTCATCATCTGGTTTTGCTCTTTATCTGAGGAAAAGAAGGCTTGTATTATCACCTAAAACGATGTTTAAGATTTGTCTTAACTTTGTGTTATCCATGATTTTATTTACACTGTCTTTCCAGTGACATAAAGAGCTATACTGAGCCCCTAAAATAACAGAAACTATAACAACCTGCTTGTTTTTATCAGACTATTTTCTTTTTTCTTACAAGGAAATTCTATGAGAGTACAAATTATTGGCAACTTATCTGAACAAATCATGATCTGTCCCAGATCATATGTAAAATAACTGTTTATCAGTTTGGTCAGATGATTTCATGAATTGTTAGCTCTGTTGTGCAAAGGCGGGCTGGAACATTTCATTTACTTTTTAGTTAATAGTTTGTATAGAGAAATAATCTCAAAAAGATAAGGAAATCAGTCATCCAATCTCCCATCTCTGTTCACTGTCTACCATCATAACCTAACGCAGGTCACTTCATCCTTCTCTGACTCTATTTTTCCACTGGAAAATCTGAAAAGTGTTACCTATGACTCCTTTGTTTCTAAGATTGATAAGACCATTAGAGGAAATGCACTCTACACATTCAAAGGTTTATGACAGTGTCTTTTGTGTTTTTGTTTTTGTTTTTTTAACAGCTTACCTAAAGATAGGGAATGGACTGGAGTTATTAAAGCAATAAGGATACACCATTTGAAGTTGGATGTGGTTGGCAGAAACCAATGGCCAAATGTGGTTTTGTTTTATATTTCTTTTGTCAATTTCAGCTATTTTATGTTGACCTATTCTCAGAAGAAGTCTTCCTGGAATGTGCCCAAATAAGAAGGTAGTCTGTTTGGAAATAATACATTTCAAGAACTAATTATTGTTTCCTGTGATTTTGCAACAAAATGTGTTATGAGTTAGGCTGGAATCAGAACACCAAACACCAAATAGTATAAAAGGGGACAACATCGGGAAAAAATTTCAAGTCAAATATCAAAATAGAGCTCAGTGATTTCAGAAGCAATGGCTTCTTGTCAAGAATAACTGTCATTAAAATTTCCATAGGCACCAGTGAAAATGAATTTGGGGTAAAAGGCGAAGGTAGGGCCTATTTTATAAAACACAGTGTAACTTTATTTTGTTCTTAATTTCCCCAGCCAAGTTTGTAAAAAATCTCAACATTTTCTTGGGCTCTTTCTCTGCTGAGGAGGGTAAAGGTTTATCTCTATTGACATATACAGTCAATGAAAAATGTAATCCAGGAAATTTTATCAGCAGAGTCTGACTAGTCTTCTTTGGCTTGTGAAGCACACAGAGTCTCAGTCTTGAGCCTATCAGTGGAGAGACCAAAAAAATATTCCAAGAGGAAGAATGCAGGCAGCTCTGGAGCCCTCTGGTTTGACACAGCGAGCCCACGCAGCAGAGTATCCTCTGGCGTCCTTTTTCCAAGTTCTCTGGATGCCGAAGAGTCTGATTTGCGTTAAAAAAAACAAAAAACAAAAAAACCCTCTGCATTCAATAAACAAAAGTAAGGATGACGACCAAAGAGCTATTTGGAACAGAAAACAAACTCAAGCATTGAATGTTTTGTACTGAATTCATTCAAGGTTTTATTAGTTGATTTCTCACTTAGGTTAGTAGGCTCAGCTTGCTTTTAATTTCACTGAGCCTCAGTTATTCAAAACAAAAGGAGCCTGGGATGATGATGATGATGTGTGTGTGAATGAGGACTAATCTCACACAGGCTTTGTACATTCTTCACATTGCAAACCCGTCAACAAAAGGAGGAAGAAGATCTGAAGGGAATGAGTGGGTTTTGTGGGTTTACGGGATGGAGAATTTCTCTACATAAACAGGGAGGTTTGGACTGGAAATCTGCTAAGAAAAACGTTACAGCTGACCACAAGGCAGTAAATCCACAGACTGGAAGGAGGGAAAGGGAAACAGTGTGTGTGGCAGCGTTTGTGGATTAGATGGGAAACAAGTGCGGAGCGGGACCATGCAGGGGGGCGGCTGGCGCGGTTTGCTCGGGGCTCAGAGTGGATAGCACTCGCAAAGCGCGGGGACAGCGCGGAGCACGGAGCTAGGGCTCCGCGCGCCTCTGCCTGCCCTGCGCTCCGCCCTGAGCGCCCCGCGCGCGCTGCCTGCTGCACCCCTTCTCCGTGCGCTCCTGCCTGCGCTCGGTTCCCTGGGCGCCTGCAGCCCCGACACGTCGGCGGTGACTCAGCTTTCGCCGTGCTGGGACCACACAGCTTGGAGGCGGACAGGGACCCCAGGACCGCGCCATCGCGTCAAAGCAGGTATGCGCTTGTCACGCCCAGGCTGCCTCAGACGCTCTCTCTGATTTCCACCTTCACCAGGCGCCTCACAGTAATTGACGTGGTTTATCCTGTTGCCCGCAAGAGAAAGCGCTGAGTGAAATGTCGCGCCTGACTCACCCTAGATAATTAAAGCTGTGGGCATGTGTCTGGGGCCACAAGTTGTATGCACCTATTGAATTATCCACGGATGTAAAGCAAGGACCTTCAAACTTGAACATGATCCCTTTAAAAAAACAAATCAACATCTGTGTGTTGCCGTGCAGCCGATTTATATACCTCGTGGTGATTTCCATTATAGTTATGACCTATAGCAAGTCAAACATTGTCTGATTGTTGGAAAGCAGTCTTTGAACTTTTCCCACCTACCCAGATCAGGTTAATATCCTCCCCACAGGAATAGGAACCACAGTGGACTTGGGAATGGTTTTGATTTTAAAGCATGTGGCCAAGATGGACTAAGCTCATGAGTGAAATATCATTGCATCATTATGCTGTGGTTGAAGGAGAGAAAGAGAGAATGTGGTTGTCAAACACCATCCTTGTGTACCTGATTTATTTTTACAGTTGAAAGTGCATTTATTTATATTGTGCACCCGCAGACAGGATGAATTCCAGGACCTCATGTCTTGCTACTTTGAAATGTCATGAATTAGAACTGTGCCATAAATATGACACTTGTAAGGGAAATGTCAATTTTTGGTGTGATTTTATTTGATCCTAAAATTGGTGGACTTCTGGCTATTTCTTTCTCTTTCTCCTTTTATTCTGAAGCATGAATTTTGTAAAAAACAAACAAACAAACAAACAAACAAACAAAAAAAAACTATTTCTTGGGACTTGACCATGTTTGATTTTGAATTTTGAAGATGGTTATATAACTTCTTCCCCTCTTGATTACTTGTGATTAAATTAGCATTGCTTAATGGGTTCAATCTTTCCCTGGAAAAGCCAGAGGGGACTGAATAAAGTCTCATTTAGAAGGTTAGTCTTGTTTTGGGTGATTCCCCAAGTACTGGAGTTCAACTTCTCTGAACCCTTGTAAAGAGAGCTTTTCCTGCAGTAGTAGACATACACAGATTGGAACTTTAGTTCAGTAAGAGAATATATATAGCAGGTGGAAGAGCAATTGCAAAAAACAAAACAAAACAAAACCCCAATGTTTTCTGAAGTCTCAATAACACTCTTCCCAGTGGATTCTTAGTAGATCATATCCAAACCACCCACTGATTCTTCACAATCAATTCCTCACTCATGCCTGGTTATCAGGGCAGTCCTTACCCCAAGACATGTGCCTGACCAAGAAAAATAGGAAGTATTAAAAAAAAAAGGTAGTTGTCTTAAATATTACAATGGAGAATTTACACTGACCTGTAAAAAAAATCAGATAAACATGTTCCTTTGTCATTTAGGGAAGTGTATGCTTAGCTATATCATGGAGTCATGAAAACTATTTTTTGCCTATTCTTGCCACTGCTGGATTTTAATGAATTAACAGAGTATTTTTGAAATCATATCAAAGAATAGACATGGCAAGTGCATATCATATTTAGGAGAGAACAATTTTTTTGATTTTATAGATAAAATTTTTCTTTTTTTACATCATGAAGGAAACTGAATTTACCTATTCAAATAAATATAAATTAATAGACCCAACTAAATTCTATCAGTAGTTAAAAGGGTAGTAGTTTTGAATTACTATGAATATTTGTCACTCTTCCATGAACAGAACATCTGAAATAAATTGAGACCCACTTCCCTCTTACTATTTAAACTCTAAAGCAGGGTGGGCATTTTGGTAGCAACTGCGTGAATGTGAATATGTATACTTTGTATGGATTAAGAGATGTTTTAAACAATGCTTTGGTTGCTCATTGTTTTATGCTATCACTCTTCATTGACAGAGGTATTCAAAAATTCATTCCCTATGCAGCTTAGTACAGCCTGAATTTTAGACACCTTCAAGTTACAAATCTGGTAATATTAAATGAGGTACATGCATTCAAATCTCTTTAAACACCTCTTCCTTAGGCATCTTCCTCCTCAGGCAAAGGAATGGAATTAGACTCTTGAGTCTGGGTGCTGAGTACTCATTGATGTGCAGAGGACTGGCCAGCCTGGGTCAAGGACAGACACTAGGAGACTTCAGAGGAACAGGAACACACACACAACAAATTAGACCAGCCACGTTTGTATTCCAGGGTTGCTACAATCACCCCAGGTTGCAGGCATTTCCTCAGTATCAGAGTCCTTTAAGGATTTAGGGGAAAAGTAACAGAGCATTTCAACTGGGGAAAATGTGCTGAGTATTGGGCTTGAAACAAATCACATGAAGCTCCAGCAAATAAGACAAATTGTTTTGAAAGGGAAAGTATGTAATTATAAATCAGGCCTCTGGTGCCATCTACTTTCCTGTTTGCTTAGCTACTTCTCTTCCTACCACAGCCACCATCATCCTGATAGCAAAACCAGACAAAGAGTTCTTTTTCTTTTTTTTTTTTCACTGTAAGTTGGGCACCCTGAGCTAATAATGTGTAGAATTAATTCTGATCAAACAATAGGCTAAAATATGGTCCTCAAACTATTCACATAAATGCACACCACTCTGGAATACTTCCCACAGCCTGTGGTATGGTGGAGCACTTATTTGTAGAGAGGAGTCTCAGAGCCATGTGGGAGCTAAGGCGGTTGAAGCAACAAGGATATGAGACAGTATAAAGACTGATATTCTTAAATATAAATCCGAGAGCCAAATGAGTTTATTTCCTCTAATTAGCTTCAAGTATAAACTTTTGGTGAGATTCCCTGAGAATTTTTAAGCAAATTCTCATGCCTACGCAGGTATCTCACACACAAGTGTGGTGGGATGGAAATAAAGACATCTGATGTACTATTAACCCTCCTGTATATACAGACCAGAAGGGGGCAGCATGCAAACTGAAAAGTGATGCTGCCTCCCCATCAGGGGGGACTCCAATCTCCAAATGGCTAAAAAATGTCCCCCTAACTTTTATGCATCCTCCTCCTTTTGGAAAAAAGACTCTAGAGTCTTAATAAGGGACTAAAGCATTCAGAATGGTTTATTTCTGTTTTTATCTACAGAATTGGTGCTTCCTGGCAAAATAAGAAAAGTACCATATTTAGCAGAGAACTCACTTTCCCTTTTAATGAGCTTGACTCTTAGATTTGAAGCAGCCTATTTAAGCAGTCTTTATCTTTACTCTGTCAGGAGATGGGTGGGATAAAGGGAGGCAGAATACAGGGAAAAGAAAGAACAAAAAAGAATAAGGTTTCTTGTGTTTGTTCTATGGGAGAAGTTAATGAGCTGTTTTATCAATAGAACCAGCTTTCATTTAAAACATGTCTCAAATGCAAGTTCAGGACCACAAAGGTACATTTTGCACACTGACAATCAATAGTACCTCCAGAAACCAAGCAAATTTGGTTTCAAAACAGGAAAAGCTGGAATAGCTTCTCCTAGTGGTATCTGGAGACTAAGACATGTGCTAAAAAAAAAAAAAAGAAGCATTAATCATCTACTTCTTAGAAGCTCAGAGACGGTCAAAAATTTAGTCCAACCTTTTTTAAACTCATGACTGATACGTTGTTTCTTTGCACTATTGTTACCTTCGTAGATCAGTCATATTCTAGGTACAAACTATTAATGTACCCCCAAGAGAGAAATAATGATCACTCTTAGAGTGGATCACCTGCGACTGGCAGTGAGCATTTCTGCATGTTCATCCTAATTCAGCCAATTGGCAGTTTTAGCTTCAGAAACACCCTTGTCTCCTTGCCACCTTTGATTCAATTGCCACACAACTCATACTAAACATGAGGGCCCTACAAGAAAGCTCAAAGAAGAACTTTTAAAACACAATGTCTGAAATGCCCAGAGCAAACGCATTCGGGATAAAAAGCTGAGGTTACACCTGAGAATAGGAGAAGGCAGAAGGGACACTGGGCTGGGAGCAGGCACACTGGAGAGCGGGAAGCTATGACAGCTGTGTCAAGAAAGACTGACCCTGAGGCTGCTGAAAGAGTGGATCCGGGGAGGCCAAGGGGCTGCCCACCAAGGGCTCAGGACCTTGTGTGCGTAAGTGAAGCCTTGGAACCTCTGATCACTACTTCTCTGCAGTACAACTTACTCTGCTAAGAGGTGTCGTGTCCTCAAATCATAGAAGAAAGGTTTTGTGTTTTTTTTTCTAGTACAAAGTGAAGATTCCTTGGTGTCTGAGAGGAAAGGGAGGTCATTGTATGTCTCCCCCATTCTCAGCCAGATCAGCCTCTGCTGCCCTTCCATTTACTGTCTGGAACTACGTAATGCCCCAAGGCTAGGAAAATTTGGATGAGAGTGGAAGATTCATCCAGGGTCACTATGGAGCCAAACACAATGCTGTAACAGTATGATAATGGCCGATAAGAAAGGGAGAGATAAATCCTAGAGGCTAAGGGAGGGGTGGGTATGAGGAATGGTAAGATTTATCACCCAAAGTCTAGGACCAAGACTCTCCACGGCTGTTTTTCACTTTTTAGTGTAGCACTTTCCAAATCCTTTCAGTCAGAGAAACTCTGGGTTCCATCTCCCTTTTCTCACTTATTTTCCAATAAAGAAATCTCCTGGCTGAAGGGGAAACCTCTGTGAAGGCACAAACCTAATTGAGAGGTAAAGCCGAGTATATAAGATCGTAATATTTGGGGAGACACAATAACCCTCATAAGAAGACAAATTTAAGAGTATGTTGCATTAAGGAAATATTTCTGAATTAGGAATGCAAGGGAATTAGAAACAAAGGAAATCTGTAACATATGGGGAAATTCTCTTGAAGAAGAGTTTTTGAAGGATATAACAGTAAGAACACAAATATTCCCAAACAGGACTTTGATGTTATGGATTAATAGCAGTTCCAAGAGCAGCTCCTCTCCTACAATTTATTTAAACAGTAGGGGGGTGGGAAGAGGACACATTGATCAGGGGACAC